AAAGCAATCGATTATTTTCCTTAAGTGGCGATATCATGAATGGATACATTCAACGTTCAAATCGGTAAACAATAACTGAATAAAATGCATTTACATAAGTTCTGTGGAGGTACCCGTTATAGAGACACCGTTGAGAAATAGCCGAATCCCGTTGAGATAGCTCCTCAAAATTTTACAGAAAGAACAATGCTGTCGATGTCGAATTGGTTTCGTGGGAATTAAAGTATGAAAATCCCCGAGTCATTACCAAAAGGAAGGCGGTAAGAAGAACAGCGACACAGAACAGCTTGCTCAGGTTCACCAATGTGTTGTTGTTATAGAAGTCTTTTGACGGATGTGATGTGTCGTAGGGCGTTGAGCCGAAAGCCAGCCTGAAATCCACTAGATTCACTCTTACTCATTCATTTGGACGCTTACTGATAAACAAATGCGCTCAAAACCGACACAATTAAGAGATTGTGAACCGACAATGACCAGAATTTTGACATAAAGGGTCAATGAAAAAAGTGCCACCCAGGAAGTACATTTTTACCTTTAGTTTTCTTACTCTCACTTTTGTAGAGACATTACGGGCTCATTACAGGGTTCACGTCCGTCTTGAGTCGAGCCCTTACCGAATCAACCACATCTTGCATCTTTCTGGGTTCCAGAAATGGATACCAAGACGGGTTGTGAAAAACTGGCTCTTCAAGTGACCAGTCCCGAAATTCATTGTTCAAGCTTAACAAAAGTGCTCTATGATTCTTGAAGGCAAAGATCTGGATTAGGCGATCAAACCAATCCCTTTCATCACCTCTGTGCGTGGTTAGGCACCCACAGAGATGGCACCACGCTCGTAATTCGAAAAAGCACGGTAATAATGCCCCGGGAAAGTATTGTCAGCTTCACCGCCTGGCGTTAGCTATGACCGCCCACCGCGGCGGGTGGCGCGTGGCTGCCATAGGGCGTGAAATCAGTTGGGTTGATTGCTGCATCAACTGTTGGCACGGAACCAGCGATGGCTGGCAATCCCGAAACCCGTTTGGACAAGCTTTCCTGCTACCTCCTCCTCTTCTCCGCTGTTGGAGAGTGGGTTTCTACTTTTGGCCTTTTCGATTCGGTTGACCAATACGACATCCTCTCCCATGGACCCTTGGAAAAGTAAACTTTCCTCCCCAAGAGTCTACCCCGCATTGGAAGTGGACCTGAACCATTTCCAACTAGCGAGCACAGGCAATCAACGAAAGCTGTATGACAATCGCTCTAAGATCACCCATATGTATATAATCCTGAGAAGGAAGAACGAGTGGAAGCGTAAGCAAACTTCAAACATCAATGTAACCCACCGTCGTGTTGACGATTGCTGGTAGACGGGCGGTAACTGAAACATCAACTTTTTATTATGAAGTCAGTATTATTGTTAACCTCATAATTATGTGTAATGTTGCTGGTTTGCTTTGCTTCTATTTGTGGAACAATTTATTGGATTAAATCCTAATGGCTTGGCCTTACAGTCCGACTTTTACTCCTCTTGAGAGACTTTTACTCTTCATTAGTGGCCCCAACACGTAAGTGAGACGATGGCTCGCACCACTAATGAGATCTTTGGCCTCTCAAGAGGAGTAAAAGTCGGACTTTGTAAGAGGAATTCGTATTGGCGGGTCAGCTACCTCGTCATTCGCCTATATTGTCGCACTCGAAACAGGGCTAGTGTTGATGCTCCGGCGAAACTGCTGAGATCTTCAGCCTCTTAAAGGAGGATTCCACGATAAGGACGAAGGTCGAAGGAGGGTAAACTTACCTAGTGAAGAGAAAGGCGGACCTCCCAAGGGTGCGAACCACACGCAATTCGCATCGAAGGCCCGGCGATCTAGCATGGCCTTTCCTGCAGCCCAATTGGCGCGCTGTTGGCGCGGTACGCCTCTTTCTCGCGTCGTCTCGTGTCTGAGTCTCTAGCCGTTCAGCAGAGAGAGCGTTAGCGTTGAAGAGGGCAGCACCGATGAGAGTCGCATCAATGCGCAAATCAACGGCAAGGAAGGGGTCCCATTTCTCGGGTTCTGGGCCGTTTTTCTGGTTTTTCTTCTTTCGTGCACCACTGACCAACTCTAAATTTCATTGGGTTGCCTTTTCACAGTGAAATACACCTTTAGGAGGACCAAGGGGTCCAAATGTAAGGAAAGCTCTTTAAGATTTATCTAACAATCTAATTCGATAAACCAAGCAAGGCACATGATCAGATGAGTTTCATTTTATCTTCGAATATTTTTTTTCAAGAAAAAGGGCAAATTAAACTGAGCCCTGTAATTTTGTGAAGAAACGAAACTCACACTTGGTGTCTCCAGCGCTGACGTGCCTCCATTTTCCATAACCTGAACACTGGTGGGATCAGACTCCCGACGTTCGAATGGCCTAGACACGATTCCCAGCACCTATAATAAACATGTCGATTTATGAAACTCTAAAAGAAACTAGCGAAATGCCTGTCAGTACCAACCTTAACAGCCATCGTGATCAGGAAGCCTACCCGGCTCCCCGTCACCGATACGTCGCAGTTCAAGTCAGCTGGAGTTACTTTGCTCATTGATCAAATCTCTAAAGTTGGTGCTTTGAACATTTGTCTTTATACACAAGAGCACTAATCTAGGCAAAATTACGAGTTGTAACGGTATATGGAAAGAATAGAAGGATAAATACAGAGGTTAGAGGTAGAGGAGGTTCTTCAAGGAGGTGCATACTAGTTCGTAAATTTCATGGTTTTCACATGGGTAGGTGGATTTTGAGGGGTGCGAAGCACTTTTTGATAAGAAGATTTCTTACTGGTTTTGAGCTAGGTCGGACCCTTGTGAAGGCTGAAAACCGAACTATTCCTTAAAAATGACTGTGATACTTAACAACTTCAAAAGAAGAGAAATTTGATGATAGAATGAAGTAAGAGAAGCTGCTCAAGTATTGCGCAGATCCGATGTGGAAGCACTGATAGAGCGGCAGCTATAGCCGCAATGAAAATCCAACTAATTCGCACTAAGGGGGAGTTTCCGGCAGAAGACATCATGTGATCACCACCTTCCATCTTGCACCCCAGCGATGGTCTTGAGAAGTCACTCCATTTTGCACGACTGTCTATTAGATTCTCTAGTAAATGAGTAAAATAGAAACTTCATAAGAATAAAATAAAATAGAAACTTCGTCACTGCAAATTCACAAGTCAAGGCGGAATCACCCAGAACAGGTTCAATTCCTTTTATTATCACCTGTATCACCTGTCGTCCCGTTGATCATCGAATTGCTCGAGCGGGCGCCAGCAACGTCTCCATTCGTCCCTGTCGCGTGCTAGAGTTGTCCAGTGGATCCTCCTCGCTCGAGGGACACGAAGCCTTCATTCCTTTCGTTCAGAGCTTTCGTGAAGAAGTCTGACCATCGGGCCGGCGGTCGTCCAGGTGTTCGTTTGACGTCCCGAGGGATCCAGTCGGTAACCGCTCTGGTCCAACGGTCATCGCAAAATCGCATGACGTGTCCGGCCCACCTTATCTTCGATTCCTTGGCGAAAACGGCAGCGTCCCTGATCTTCGATCGTTGGCGTAGTTCGGAACTCCGGATTCCCCTCTGCACTTGCGTGTATAGGGTGACTTGAAGCATCGTCTTCTCGGCATCCGTTTTTTCGAAAAGAAGGACTCCCTCCCGGAAAATCCTTGCATTTTTTCCAAGCATGAATATGTCACCAATAAAGGCAGCATACGAAGTTTCACGCACAAGATTCAGTTTCCGAAGAGAAACAAACTCACGAAAACCATCTATGGACAATCGAAGGTAAGGTCGGCGCGGAGCCAAAGGCGGGGCATGGAAAGAAGTCCGCCTTGGGGCGGCTACGTATCAGGCGACGCAATGAAAGAATCGGGTTAAAGCGTGCGATTTTGGAGAGTAGAGACAAATCGATCGATAGAATAGGATGCAGTAGAAGTGTGAGATGTTAGTGCAATAAATGAGAATGCAATTTTTCTTCATTCTTATAGTAATGTTTCAGGTGAAGTTCAGCGTAAGCCAACCAAATTTATATAAATGATTAGTTGTTGCCAAGAGCGATATGTATAATATTTAAAGGCACAACCCAGGCAGAGGTCGTGTGAACGCTTCCCTTCGGTCTGTAGTATAGACCCCTAGGACAATCACAAATGTGGCGTTCTCGTGCACGGAAACCAACCGACAAGAGCGCTTGGGCCTTGCAAAGTAAGCTGCCCAAGCTGCAGACTTTTTTCTCTTATCAGGCTGTTGTCTGGCGATCTCTCATCTGTAGCGCTCTCTCGCCTCATACTCTCCTCTCCGCGCTTAGTCTCTCATTCCCTTAGCACAGCCGATTAGGAAGGTGAGTGAGCCCTTAACCTAAGCGTTTTCGACGGATTCTTTTCCTTTTTTCTTTACTGCCGGCCCACTTCGCACCAATACATTGTGCAAGAGCCACACCAATGTGATCCTGGGGCATGCCTTTAATACTGCAACATACATCAATAACTACATATCTTACATT